GAATATTCATAAGGATTGTACATTCACTGTGCAGAAATCAAATACTATGATTATTGTAATATTTTCTATCTTGATTATTTTTTTAATATAAATTTTATTGCAAATAACTTAAATTCCAAAAATTATGCAAAAAGTTATAAAGAATAAGAAAAAGTTCATCACAAATTAAAGTTTCCATAATGTATAGGAACTAGGAAAGAATGTTAATAAACTTAATTAAAATGAATTGATATTGCGCGTGTTTCATAATGGTCAACTTTATTATTTGTAACTTTTTTTTTATTCACTCTCACAAAATACATTAATAATTGATGTATCTAAACTATGATTGATGGCATCATATATACCCTTATTAATAAAATTACAAGAATATACTATTTAAGACCTTAATTTACGTAATATTATTTTAGTTTTTTTATTTATAACATTAACATTTTAATTACAAATATGACATTTTATTATAAATTAAAAATCTACACGATTTTATGTCCTATTTTATTGGTTAGTGGACTAAATTGTTGGGAGTCATATTTTATCTTTTATTTTAATTAATTTTTAGAATCTCAATCACAATTATATTTGGATACGTTTTCTTTAATAAATATCTTATTTTCTCTTTCATGTTAACCTTACACGGAAGAAATATCATTGATGTACTTTTTTTTTCCTTGGTAAACGCATTGCTGCACACATTTTTTTCATCTTTTTCAAGAAAAAATTTTGAAACTCCTTCTTGAAAATATTTCTCTTTGTTTCTTTTAAAAATCATCTCTTACAACACAATTTTTTTTTTACTCTTTGAATAAATTGATTATGAGTAAGAAAGTTGCTTTTGATAATGCTCTCGGAAAGAGTCCTCGTTTGATGAAGGCTTATATCGATGTCAAGAGCCCGATTGTTTGTTCAAAATAAAAAATTACAACTGTTAATTTGAAGAAGATCCGCATTATCATAGTTAAGATGATTTGTATCATGTGGTCCATAAATTATCGGAAAAAATTTTAAACACATTTTTTTGTGTACACTTTGGTGTTCGATTTGGTACAATTATTGATGATATGTTATTTTAAATAGTGATATGTCTTAAGGAATATACTTTGGTAGCTGATCCAGTATAATACTTGGTGATTTGTTGGTTATTAACCGTAATATGTTTTTGTGTATATATTTTGATGGATGGTATAGTTAAAATATTGATAATTTGTTGATTTCAATTTGATGGATGGTGGTCGATTTAGTACAATTATTGATGATATGTTATTTTAAATAGTTATATGTATTAAGGAATATACTTCGGTAGCTGATCCGGTACAATAATTGGTGATTTGTTGGTTATTAACCGTAATATGTTTTAGTGTATATATTTTGATGGATGGTATAGTTAAAATATTGGTAATTTGTTGATTTCAATTTAATGGATGGTGTGATTAATTTTTTGGCGATATATCAATATATATAGAACAATAAAAGAAATTGATTTTTAATTGATGGTAATGTTGATTTTAGTTATATGTTCCAAACCTACAATGCATTACATCATCTAATCAAGTATATACCAACTCTTTAGAATCATCAAATTAATTTACATGGTGTACAATGTGGTGTAACCTTTCTGTCAAGTTCAAATTTTAATAACTATAACAACTAAAAATAATTATTGGATTTGTTGGTTAAAAAATAATGGTAATTTGTTGATTTAAAGTTGCAATAATTTATAGTATATATATACTTTGATGTAAGGTATGACTAATTTTTTGGTGATATGTTGGTTTAGAACTATAAAAGATATTGATTTATAATTGATGGTAAAGTTGATTTTAGTTATGTTACAACCCTATAATACGTAATACCATAATCTAATCAAGTATATATCAATTTTTTAGTATCATTAAATTAATTTACATGGTGTACAATATGATTTAACTTTGATGTCAAATTCAAATAAATCTAATTTAATTTTACCATAATGAATGAATTATACCAAATTATAACCAAATAAATTAAAATATATAAATCCATACATTGATGATAAATTTATTATTGGTTATATGTTCCAACTACATTGGTGTAAAAAAAGATTTAAACAAAAAAATTGAAGGGAGAGAACTAAAGAAAAACAAAGAAATTTTTCAGAAAATAAAATGAGGTACATAAAAAGAGAAAAAAAAGGAGAAAGAGACGAGTGAAGAGAGTTTAGAAAAAAAAAGGGTGGAGAGAAAAAGAGAATCAGTTTGCTTAGTATTTTAAGAAGAAGATTAGAAAAGGGGAGGAAAATAAGGAAATAAAAATATTGAGGGATTAATTATTGAGAGATTTGTGGAAGGTAAATAATAAAATAAGAAAAAAAATAAGGAATGAAATCTTATTTAATATAGGAATGTGTATTGTTGTATTATTTATACCAATTTATTTCTTATTTATTTTTTATTTATTTTATTTTTGTAAAAAAACTATTGCTATATAGGTGAAAAGTTAAATTATTGTTATATAAGGGTTATTTAGGTGTTTAAATTGTACATTTAAATTTTTCACCAATATTTAATTTTATATTCTAAGCCACCAATAAAATTATGGACTCTAGGCATATTTTTGTAAAAAAAATATTTAAACATACCTATAGACCGGATTGTTTGATTTGCGAGAAGAATTTATATTTAAATTATAGTTTTGAAGTTATAATTGTTATATTGAAATTACATAATTCTAAAATATAATCTCAATAATTTTAGGATTATAACTTCAGAACTATAATCCCAATAAATATAGACCGGTCTTCCCTGCCTGCACCCTTTTCCCACTCATATCATCTAGCCTCCAAGTCAAATAATGTTAAATTTGAGAATTTATTTTTGAATTCATTATATTTTAAATAAATAAAATATAAGTATAATTTTAGACGTAATTTTGAAATATTTCACTTTATTTCGTGAATCAAACAATCCTTGACTATATATATTTAGTTATGTCATAAATATATGTAATCATGTCTAAGTTGGTGAGTTCTACTGTAGTTGAGATAAAATTCACATAAATTCAACTTAAAGTGATTGAGCATACGTCATAATTTATGATAATCAAAATATTTTGTTTGAGTTGCTTCTATAATGATGAAATAAATATAATTAAAACAAAAAGATTAAAGATTACACGTGCCAACTAATTACGGAGACAAAGTTGTTTATCAAACTACGTCTTTATTTTGAAATTTAGCTAATTTTATACTCTCACGAGGGGAATGTCTATTGCATAATATAAATGCCTACTCAACTTGCGCCCTATAATAATGAAAAAATGTTATTATCTTTGATAAATAAATAAATTAAACACTTTGGTGAAAGGGAAATGATAATGGTGTGACATAAACACGCACAAATAATCTTATGTTATTGGATTAGTTTCTTGGAATACATTTGGATTAGTTGATTAAAGAAATAAAAATGTAATACTAGTATGTTTGGTTAAAAATGTCGATAGTAATATTTCTATTAAAATTACTAAAATATCCTTTAAATTATTTTTTTTAAAAAAACCATTAAATTTTTAAGTCTTTTACATTACAAATGACGACGGAAGGAATAAAGTAGAAAGATAATTAAAAGTTAAGTACTATAATTTAAAGTATTCACAAATTACAACATATATGAGGGACAAGATTATAAAAAATTTGGTCAAATCCTATGTAATTATAAGGTGTAAAATCATAAGTTAGGGGCTAGGGGTTATGACTAATTTATGGCTTTAATTTTGACATAAAGAATTTAGGTGTTTATCAAACATATAAATAAATTAAAAAATATTTATAAACTAGATGGACTATGTCAAAATTAAAATTATTTATAAATTAGATTGACCAGCTTATAATGGCATGGGGTGATTAGATTGAGCCTTTAATCACAATATTGTGGGGTCTATATAAAAAGACAATTAAGTCATAGTTTAGTAGGTTTTTTTCAAAAGAACAATAGTAATAAGTTTGTCACATCTCACTCGCTTTCTATAACATATAAATGATATATTTATCGTATTAAGTATTTTAAATTTTTAATTAGCTGGTGAAAATATCACTATTGAAAAATCACTATTTTTTGGGAAAGTTTTACTGAAAAAATGTCCAGTGGTTGTTTTCATATATATGTTGATTGATTAGTAAGAAGAAAAAACTATTCAACGATTATTTTCAATATTTCAAATGAAAATCTATTTTTCACAATGCGCTTTCTTAGTGAGCTAATTCAATTGAAACATGATCGAAAAAACGTATTTCGAGTAGTGTACGACAAATGATACATTCAATTAAAAATATTTTTATCACCATGGGTTGTGGTAGAATAGTTGAGATTATTTCATAATTAGAGATCTCGAGTTCGAGTCATGAGAATGAAAAAAATCATATTGAGAGCGTCGACCCTAGAAATCGGTATTGTAATGCACAAATTTAAATTAATTGTTGGACTTCAATATTGATACCAAACATCGAATAAATATTATGAAATTCAATAATATGAATTCATATTATTTTATGCACTAGTTAATAAAGGCGCAATAATGATTTAAGAGACGTACGCATTTGAGAGTGTGGAAAAGTAAACTACGCTATAGTTGAAATGCAACGTTATAAATTATATAAAGACAAGGAAAAAGACTTTATAGTATATTTTTTTATAGAATAAAGCCAAATTAGACAATCCATAAAGTCTTTTAGTACACACCATAATGACTGGTTTTTTTGCTTAAAAATAAAACCACCATTTGGTTTCCCACAACCTCAAAACTCCTAGAGTCTATAGTGATTTTATTCTATTAACATCTTTTAATTTACAAGAAATAGATAGAGAGTGAGAAAGAAATTATTCTCTTTCGGTCCATCTACCCATGGTTGAGGCATATAGTGCTTTAAAACTATGTTATTCAGATATTTTAAAAATGTCGTCAGATATATAACATTTTTAAAATGTTCGAACAACATAGATTCAAAGATTCTCCCTCTGGCAAAACATGTTTTATTGATGATTTATTATAGGTTGATTAATGATATGTGGTCTTTGTTCCGCGTATAAATTATTGCATGGCCATGCAAAGGCGGAATTGTACAATTGTTGCTGAAGTTGTCGTGTGATTAAGATGTCACGTATGCCCTCGAGTCTTTGTCGCAGTAAAACCGATTCAACTCGGAGCATCTCGTTGTTTCTCTCAACAAGTTGGTAATGACCGATTACCAACTGAACCCGATTTGTTAAATCCCGATTTTCAAGTTTAAGCCGGTTCGATTGGTTCCTCAAGTTCTCCAAATGTGTTTGCTTACGTATGCGGGATCGCCTCGCTGATTCGCGATTCGATATCATACGCTTTCGTTTTCTCTCATTTATAGCCAAATTCGGGCTATCGTTAGGAGACTCGGGTTTAGATTTGTCAGAGCCTGAACCGGGGTCATGTGAAATTACCGGTTCAGGGGTTAGGGATTGCATTGGTGAAAATACCGATTCTACCCCTGGTTCAGGGAATATAGAAGTCAGTTCGATGTAATTCCATTGAGTGAAATCATCGTAAAAAGAAGGGAAGGTGTTCGGAAAAAACCCATCGGAGGACAGAATAGTGGACAACATGATCGGAAAAATTCTTATAGAGGGGGTGGGTGGGAAGATAGAAGGAGAAAAGGGATGAAACTAGGTGAAGAGTGTAGTATTTAAAGGGGAAGAGGGAAGGGGTTATTTGAGGGTATTTTGGTCATTGTATAACTTTTGACTTTTGAGTCAGGTGGCATTATTGGGGTGGGGTAGTAACAAGTAATTCTACTTTTTTTGTTCCAAAAAAATAAATAAATCTACTTTTCTATTTTATTTAAAATTAAAAGAAGATTTGGTGTGATATAAGCTCCTTGGGGCCAAGAGGGTTAAAGCTTAGTCATGAAGAAAACCATTATGTGCTAACGTATCATTTGCCTATTGACTTATTAAACTTAAATATTTCATATTATTAATTAATATAGACTAATTTATGAGTTAATTGGATGAGACCTAACTCTAATATCATTAGAAAGAAACGAATATTGAGCTTAATTCAAACCCCTAATTCATCAAGGAATATATATATCATTAAATAAGATCAAGGATCCTAAATAATGTTTACTAATAGAGGACTCAACAACTTCTCGAGAATACATAACTCGTCAAATAACATTTGTCTAATGCAATTTATATATCTTATTCTATTTGTAAGTTATTACATATGAACAAGTTTATTCAATGCACGCCTAAAAAATAAAAACTGTTGATTTCTGTAGAATTTTCAAAAAAGTTTAGAAGAACCTTGAAGATTTGAAAGTTTAATCATCTTCTTTGCAATAAATTCGATGCACTATTCATGTCAATCATCTTCTTTGTTTTTTGCCCAATATTGTGTGTGAAAAGTGGAGTGGAGTATTTGTTAAGTGATTAGGTCATTTCATCTTACCTTTTTATGTTAAATTTTAGTATTATTTTTTCGTGCTACTTCGAAACGATTTAAGCTTACATTCTTCTACTTAAAACAGTGTGCAACTAGAAAAGAGTTACACATATATTTTTAAAAAAAAATAAAATACCCATCCTTAGAGCTCTCACTCTTTTTGCTCCTTTGTAAGTAATTTGAACTCACAATCTTTGAAATGGAAGTGAGGGATGTTTACTATCCAAGCAACTCCCTCTTGTCTTACACATATATAGGGGTGTACAAAACCGAACCGAAAACCGAACCGAAAACCGAACCAAACTGCAAATCGAGTCAAATCGAACAAAAAACCCAACTAGTGATTTGGTATTGAAAAAAAAACCCGACTATGTTTGGATTGTTTTGGTTTTAATTAAAAAAAAACAACCCGAGACCAAACCAACCCGACATTAAATATGTAATTTTAAAATTTTATTTTAGACATAAAAATATTTACATTGATATGATTTTAAAATATTTCTTATACTATTTCATAGTTTTTATCTTTTAATATATTATTTCAAGTTTAAAACTTAGAATTCGGAATGGTCCAATAAAAATTATAGTTTATAGATGTTGATAATTATAATAAAACTTAAATCAAAATCAAATTAATACTAATGCAAAAAGAAAATCAATTCAACACTAAGAATGACAATAATATTGAATATTTGTTCTTTAGTTTTACATTGGTTTAGACAATTAAAATACATAATTTAATTTTAATTTTCCTTAAATATTTAGTAATGTAACTAATACTTATTAAACTTATTTTAGCATGATTTTGTATTTTTAAATTATGATCATTTTCATTATGACTTTGCAATATTTATTTTATATGATGATTTCATTATTATTTTTTATTGAATATTTTAGTGTCATATTTTGTGTTATTTTCTTAAGAAACACCTTAGATAATTGTAATTTGGTTTGATTTATAAATTTAAAAATTCGACACAATGGTTTGATTTGGTATTTAAAAAACCCGAACCAACCCGAGGTTGAAAAATTCAAAAAAATCCGAATTTTATTAGTTTGGTTTGATTTATAAATTTAAATTTTTTACACAAATGATTTGGTTTGATATTTGAAAAACCCGAACCAACTCGGTCATGTACACCCCTACACATATATTACGAATAAGCTTAGAAGGAATTCTTTTACCAATACTCAATGGTTGTATTAAATTTATAAAAACAATACACATATGTTTGTTAGACAATACTTATATATATCACTTGATGATAGCTATTTATCATTATATATAACCATTATAAATAAATTTGATTCGGTGCAAGTATTGTTTGAAGTAAACATTTAACATGTGCAAAGAATAAATAATAGAAGGAAAATTGAGAAGTTGGATAGTATGAGACTTTTTTATGTCAGAAATTGATTGCCAGTGTGATTTGTGAGAAGTGTTTGGGAAAAAAAAAGTAAAGTGTTATACTAATTTTGATTTGTAATTAGGTCACAAGATTCCTAATTTAATTTCTTGTGGTCAAATCTTACTCCAACTTCAAAATTGGCTACTTTAGTCTATACTATTATTATACTTCAACAAAAAACACATAAACTGCAACTAGTGGAGATAAATGATATTAGATTTTTCTATAGGGCCTTCCCCACTAAACACTATTACTAGTCAATTTGTTGTTTTTAGTGATAATGTACTTTCGTAATCTCTTAGGAAAGTGGATAAGTAAATCAAATTAATAAAGTATAATATATTAAGTTGTGCATAAGAATTTAGTAGGCATTTGGTCATGCGATACCATATCACGATATGGTATCGTGAGATGGAATCAACGTTTGAACATGCGATTTTACGCTGATTTCAACTCATGATTCCATATCATGAGATGTGATTCCATATTCTTCAAAAACCATGATATGAAATTATATGGGAATTCCATATCATGATTTGAAATATTTTAATACAAAAATTGATCTACGAGTTTATATTTTGTTAAAACAACCCCACATTTATATCTACTAACCATTTATTTCATAAGTAAATAAAATTTATAATCACATCATTACTTTTTAAAATTTATTATTCTCACCGACATAAAATTTATTATTCTCATCAACATATAGTCTTATGTGCTTGTGATTTTGATGTGTGATTTACCTTTGTTGTTGCTGGTTGGGAAGGTACTGCACATGATAGTAAAGTACTTGAGAATGCACTTGTTGAACCAACGTCACAATTTCCATTTCCGCCACATGGTAACTTTAAATTACATCCTTTGAATAAATATTATTTATTTACACAAAGCTGTCTCATTTACGTCACATATGCTTTTAGTAATTCTTTATAAAATGTTTGTTGGTAGATAAATATTATGTCGTTGGTGTTGATTTCCGAAACACAAAAGGATTTTTAGCTCCATACAAAGGACTACGCTATCATTTGCAAGATTACCGAGGAGGTGAAAGAGAGCCTCAAAATGCCAAAGAACTGTTTAATTATGAGCATTCATCTCTGCGCAATGTGATTGAACGGACTTTTGGAGCTTGAAAAAATAAATTTAGAATACTGAAATAAGGCATGAACCATTATGATATTGATACACAAGTGAAAATTGCCATAACTTGTGTAATGTTACATAGTTATTTGCGAGAATACCAAAGTACTGATGAGATATTTATGGTCTATGAGCATGAAAATATAGTTGTGGATGATATTGACCAACAAATGGCATATTGACCAACAAATGGCTCAAAGTAACAATGTTGGTTCGTCTTCTCGGTCACATGATCGAGAAATGCAAGTTCAATGTGAGGAAATTGTCCGTACTATGTGGGAGGATTATATTAAAGACTAGTACACTACAATTTATGTTTATTTTTTTTATTAATTAAAGTTAGATGAAACAATTACTTAAGTGGAGAACAAATAGCTTTGTAATAATTTATTATGCGATTTTATAAATTTTTGTTTATTTGATAAGATTGAATAAACAATTGGGGCTATTTTAATAGTTTTACAACTTATGAGATTTTTATGTTTATGAGTAAATATACAACACAAAAATTCCATATCGCATGTCCAAACAAAACTTCAATTTCATCTCATGATTCCATATCGCATGACCAAACAGGCCCTTAGTGTTTGTGGTCCTTATCCTTTACACTCTCTTCTTTTATGTGGCGCCGTTTGATTTTCAAAAGTTAGATAAAATTTTTATGATTGTTTTCTTTTTTATGTTTTTTTTTTAAAAATAAAATAAAATTATTAATTATTGTGATATATATTTATTTTTTTATATAGATTTAAAATATACAAATTTTATTTCACAAAATTTAAAGATTTCATATTTAAATTTACAATCAATATACAAGAAAGAGTAAGTTGGATCTTTTAATTCACCCAAGGAAATATGAAATTATCTATAAAATTTATCGGTGACTATTAGTTAATATAACGCAAATACAATCCTAGGTAATTGAATTTTTTATATAATTCATATCTAATTCATAACTAAATAAAACTAGCATGAAATTTTATGATTAAACTATAAATATTTATCTGTTGCTAATTTCATATTTTCTAATCATTATTCTACACGTTGTCTGCGCAGTACTATTTATACGTTTCAACCTTGAATATTTACTTTACCTCATTGACTATTCTCCAAAATATAGTTGGGGGGGAGGGGACAAATCAAAAAAAAAAAAAAAAAAACAGCACTAAGAAGGAACCACTCAAAGTATAATACTTTATACCTACACAAAGTAAGAATTTTATAGCAAGACTTGTGAAGAATACATAAATTATTGTCTAATATAAAGAAATAAGACTTGTGAAGAAAACATAAATTATTGTCTAATATTCCTTCTTTATAGGATTCTCTTTTCTTACTGATGGTCTATATTTTTTTCTTTTACATTATTAGAGAGTCTTTAAATATTGTCAAAATTATATAAAGAGATTATTTCACTATTAAAGAATCAATCACTAAACTCAATACCCCCTTATGTTTAGGAATAGTACTGAATATTTGAAGTATATATTGATAATATAAAATGATCAATTTAACTTGAATTAAGATAGAATTAATTCTGATAAGTAATATTACATTAAAGAATTAATCAGGAGACTTAACAGTCAACACTACCCTCATGTTTAGGAGTAGTATTAAATATTTAAAACATGGACACTATAAAATAAACAATTTAACAAGAATTAGGATAGAGTTTATTCTGATA